TTAATGAGATTTATGTATATGATGATATCAGATAGGGACAAATGACATTTTATGATTATTATGTCTTTTTACTGATGCATAGATCAGTTAGTAATTTTTCAATTAAAAAAACTAATGATGTTTAAAAGTGTGTACTGTAAGTGAACTCATTTGTCTTCTTAACCTTTTTGAAATTAGGCAAAAAAAAAAAAAAAAAAAAAAAAAAAAACAAGTATAGTTTGTTATAGATTTTGAATAAAACTGGATATCCCAGGTGATCAGACATATGGCATTTTTCTTTGGTAAGAGAGGGGAAAAGATATTTGTTAAGTAAAATTTAAAACATGTTAATAACCTGGGTGATGGCATCCCATTTTCCTTAAGAGGATAGTCACAGTTTTGAGAAATCTTTGCTAGTTATATTTGTGATTTGCTTCTTAATCTAGGCCGAATTTATAAAGATTATTGCAATATTTAAAATTTAAAGAAATGTTCTCCATTTTGATTTTTAGATTTATGCATATGATGATATCAGATAGGGACAAATGATATTTTATGATTACTGTATCATTTTACTGATGCATAGAAATGGTTCTCAGCAATAGTTCAATAAAAAGAAAACTGCAGAGATATTAAATTATGTTTCGTCATGTGTTAAGTGAATAGATTAATTTCTCTTAACCTTCTTGGTAACATGTATGAAAACACAGATAGCCTAATTTCTCTTAACCTTCTTGGTAACATGTATGAAAACACAGATAGCCATTATGTGCTTTCCATTCCTATTTAAGTTGTTCAGCATTAATGTGAATAATAGTGATTTAATTATGCTGAGCACTGTAACTGATAGCATACTTTTTCTTCAGGCTGCATCAGTAGTCACTGTTGATTAATAGTCTGCCAAATTCTACACAGATCTCAAATCACCAGCTTAGTGGTCAAATTAGATACTGTAGGGTAAATGAAAAGGAAGGCACAACTGGCTTTGTCCTTAATCTGTTAATGATGATAAGAATATCTTACTATGGAATGCATCTACATCAAAAATCAAAAACAATATTGCAAGATACAGATTGCAGTTGTCTCCTTTTTTCTGTTGATTTCTGTTGTTTATACTTATTCTCCTTTTTTCTGTTGTTTATACTTATGTACATACATTTTGAAAAAGGCGTATATTACTTAGTCTTATGTTTTTCACTTTGTTTCTTACATAGATTGCATCACAAAATTGATACAGTAAATGAAATTTGATATATATAAATGCTTATCTGAAATGCTGCATCCAGTTAATGGCTGAGTAATTAAAAGTCACTGATCTGTATTTCTGGCAGCATTATTTCTTACCAGACTGTTCTGTTGGAATTTGTAGTTTTGATATACATGATCGTATTATTAACTAGTTTCAGAGAACACCCAGACCAGTACTTAAGTCTGCAAACAATTTGGTGCTTGGACAACATGGATTGTCCCTTGATTTCACTGAATCGAATAGGCCAGAGTACTGTGACCCATTCAGGACATGCACACTGTGACTGAAATAGCTCACTGACGTGCAAGGCAGAAACACTGTTATTGTAGTGATTAGGTGGGATTCTGGCTTAATCGATCACAATCCCACATATGGAGCTTCGTGTCACTGGTCATGGGCTAGGCACATGTAGTTGTATTTGTGTCCTGGATATATCGAATTCTTTATTCACAAGTAATCGCCAGAGGCCTGAACACAGATATCCCACTGTTTCACAAGCTGAAGGATTCCCTCTTCCCTGAATTCCTTAGCCATGACAGGAGCCAGTTCTCCATTGTGTCCTTCAGTTCGTCATCCAAATTGAAGCACTTCCCTTTGAGATGTTACTTCTCACCAGATCACTTTATTGATGATTTTGGCCATGATTACAGTGTTTGCATGGCCTGGTCTTGTGTCGTCACTCAAACACTCCAGGCCTTCACGAAAACTGGCACTCCACTTTCTCACTAACTTGTCAGATACAATCTTCCTCATATATGACCATCATGAATATCAGCATGTTTAAACCCTTCTTCAGTCAGAAATCTGATAACACATCTCTCTCTCCTCCTCAATCGTTGAATTTTGCAGTGTGAATGCCATGATGTTCTCACATGCACTGTTGCATCAACTGGATTGAACACACAACTGCTTACTTCTCTCTTACGTCATGTGCATAATCATGCTGGACACCACATTTGTGCTCTTCTCTTAGGTGTCTCATTTTGTTATGCTAAAGCAGTATACTCAAACCGTTTTATTTGTTATGATGTTTTGTACCTTTTCTTTTGAACAACCCTTATAATTATGACGACAAAATATTATGGCTACTGCAGTTTATAGCAGTGATGGCGAACCTATGGCCCGCGTGCCGCAGTCGACATGCAGAGCCTCATCAGCTGGCATGCAACTAAAATATTATTTCCTTAATAAATAATCATAATAAAATATTACTATGTAAATTAACACGTTGAGTGCCTAGCGTATTTCTTAGGTAATCCCGTTCAGGCCACGCACGCTGCTTAAAATCGCTGGCATTGAAGGGCCAGCGATTCTTATCGCAGTAGAAGATAGTTTACGTTTGGAATGTGATTCCTATAGGCATTCATTCAACACATTACGCTCCAAGTCTGTTTTGTAAATAGTTACATTCTATGCAAAGATATTACAAAGCAGAAAATTAGCATTACTGAAGTCTGGAAAGAATTAGCGCTATCCCTTACAAGTTGTGAAAAAGAAGATATTCCATCAAACAGAAATGCAAGAATATCTGAAAAAACGACAGCATAAACTCCAAAAAAAAAAACCGGAAAAAGCCTCTGAAGTACGGAAATATTGTAAATTATGTTATGATAAAAATGCAAACTGAAGCTGGTAGTGTAATGGCCAGAAAAAAGGACTAAGACAGTTGTCACAATTTGTTATAGCTGTAATAGAGAACCGTTTTTATACTTAGTGTTTCAATGAAATCCATTAGTCCTGTAATGAATCAAAATTAAGTAAATTTTAAATAATTTTTCTGTAATTCCATAAAACAGTGTAAATTGTTTAGTTGTATATTATGTTACACGCTGTCAGCCAGCTGCGGTCGACGCGGCCTAAACGGAAAGTCTAGTGTCGGCCACAGATGGTTGACATGGTGCTCAACGTGTTAAATAAGTGTTTTAGTCTGTTCTTGAACATTTTACTTACTTATGGCACTTTAACACAAACCACAAGATTGTTTCCAAACTTGAGGAAGCTGAACGGAAGCTGTTTATTGAAGGGAAATTGAGGAATTCTAATTACCAGAAAGTTGGTTTTTGCAATTATCTTTCTAAAACAAATCATCTAACAATGGCCAGCTTCCAAATTTCACTATGCCTAGAAAAGCATAGTGAATCGGTAAATCGCTATAATCAACTAAATACCATTTTGAATCACTCTCCGATGTGGATTTAATCAAAAAGGTTTTAGTCATGCGGCCCCAAAAAGGTTCGCCACCACTGGTCTATAGTATACTGCAAGTCTGTGCTTAAAATATTTTCTGAACTTGAATGGAATTTTCAAAATAAAATTTTCCCTATACTGCTGCAGTAAATAAAATACTGTTCTTAGCATGGAATGTTTGGCAAATAATAAATTTTGAATCAAGGAAAGTTTTATTCCTTTAATGACGAGACAATTTTTGTATACTTTCACTGAGTGGCCTTTTGAAGCTTATATACCTATTTATAGTAAGTTTGCTTCCTCTTCATTAATGATACATATATTAGGATCTTGTATGTAAAAGACTACTTGCAAGTGATGATATATGATGTATGATTTCTATGAATGTATTTGAACTCTCTCACTGATGCAAAACAGTATAAGTTAGCTTTGACTGAAATATGTAGGTTTTTGAAGTATAAATTATACTTGTTCTCATATCATATTTTGCAAGTGATGATATTTAGCACATGACATTTGTGAGTGTGTTTGAACTCTCTCACTGATGCAAAATATTTTATTACTGTTTTTCACGTTATAAATTGTAAAAAAAAAAAAAAAAGGTATGGATTGCAGCTGATGTTATTAAATATATGACTTTATGATTGCATATAAACACTCAATATTAGTTGTGCATGTAAAGTATCTGGGATTATTTGTAAGGCATGAAAAGTGTTTCCCAAGTTATTTGTTTGCAAATGATGAATCCTTACTGTATGATTTCTGTGAATACATGTGAACTCTCTCACTGATGCAATATAAAGTATCTGGAATTATTTGTAAGGCATGAAAAGTTTCTCAAGTTATTTGTTTGCAAATGATGAATTCTTACTGTATGATTTTTGTGAATATATTTGAACTCTCTCACTGATGCAAAGTGTAAATACCCTTAACATATTTTAGAAAAACATTTTATGTGTAATTTAGAAATTAAAACTTATAGTTTTTGTCTTTAGTACTTTTGAGGTTCCTAGTAAAAATACTAATTAGAGGGAAAGATTAGCAAGTTAGACCAGATAGTGCATATGTGGTTTCATTCTGTATAAATAAGTTAACAGCTGTGAACCCAAGAATTCTGCTGAATAGTTCCATCATTGTTCCACTCTCAATTTCTGACTAAATAATCTGTTATCATTCATGTATTTGTGTATTAATTATAAAATCTTTTCTGTATTGCAAAGAATCTAATTATGTCTGATACTCATTGCTGCAGTGTGTTTCATTGTGGTACCTTGATGGTGTATATATAACTTATGTTCTTTCTGCATAAAAAATTGGAAATTTGGACAGTTGTTGGTTGCTGAAAAGTACTGGTAGGACTTCTAATAAGTATGAGTGATTTAAGTTGGGTGAAAATAAAAGGTCTCCCTCCACAAGTAACTTAAGTTTTTGGAACATTATATCAGAGTCTTACTTTATCAAATACTTGTAACTTTTCTTAAAGACTATTGGTCATTTTTGACTATTTGTAGACACTTCTTTTATATTTTTAAAAGCATGCATGTAAGAAAAAAAATTTTTTTTTTTTTTTTTTTTTTTTTTCCAGGATCATTCGTGCATTCCTCATTGAAGAACAGAAAATAGTAGCAAAAGTTCTTAAAGCACAGCAGATCACCTCAAAAGGTGCAAAATAATGTGTATGGTCTGTAAAATAAATATATAACTGAATGTATTTGTTGTGTTTACTTACATATGTAAAACATTTGTAATGCATTGACTATTTTCACATACTGTTTTAGAAAATTTTCCAGAGTTGATGTATAACATTACTTTGGAAACATTTAACAAAACTTGCTTTTGTTGAAATTATCATTCAGAATGAAATTAAAATAAATCAACAAATATTCATAACACTTGTTATAGTAAAAAAAATTAAATTGTTTTACAAAGTATTATTTATTGATTATTCAGCGATTACAGATTTATTAGGTTTGAAATGTAATCTTAAACTTTAGCACATTTGGTGTACTTATCAGGTTGCATTTTTGTTAATTGTAAAACAATGATCTAACATTTTGAGAAATGCTTAAAATCGTAAAAATTTAAATGAACTTTTGCCCTTCAAAGCTGTGGATTTTTAATTTGAAAATGTTTTTGCCAGTGCATTAAATTCTACTCCCAAGCTTGCTGTTATAGGATATATTATGTAGAGGTATTCTTACTTCCATATGACAACGAAATGAATTGGGTAAAGTGAAGTACTTCTAGACGCTAAGATTTTTGGAATACAGTTTTAGCCAAAATCGACAGAAGGCTGTTAATATTAATCATCAGAAATTTCTGCCTGTTTTTACGATTGCCATTTTGGATGAATCTTTTGAATGTGTTCATGAGTTATAATTAATTCCTATTTCTAATATAAATTGTGGGATACTTGAGTTAGTGAGCAAGAAGTAAAATATAAGCATTTCAATTTTTTTTTTTTTTTTTTTTTTTTTTTTTTTTTTTTTTTGAAGGAAAGCTTTAAAAACCTTTTGCTTTTGGAGATGTTAATTCTTTTGTTAAAAGGCTAAATTTGGCGAATTAAAGATGCAGAATATGCTATATCAGTTTTCTCTATAAAATTAATTTACACTTTTTCCGCTTTGTCCCCCCTACTGTTTTTAGCTTTTTGCCATTACAGAAATTGGTAGGAGAAATTTTTCTTCAGGATTTTAGACATTGCAGCTTGGAAGGATTTGAAGGCAATAGATAACAATTCTAGAAGATTCCAAAAAATATCTCCATGGTGTAACATGTAATGGATGTATTTTTCAGTAAGTTTGCGATGAATTTCTAATTTTTTGGAGAATGTTTCGAAAATAAAAGATTTCAATGTCTGGTACTAGAATCTTTAACATGATAAGCCCTTTACTTCTCTACTTTTCACTAGACACAAGTATGGGAAATATAAAAAATGCTTATCTTTAAATTCTAAAATGAAAAGTAAACATGTTAAAGAGAGAAAATTATTCTTCAAATGTGTGGTTATATTTCCTTATCAGAATGCAAAAAACTTAGTTTTTTGGAGTGTTTCTGACCTTTGCTTGCTTATTGCATTAGTTCCTGCCAGTTCTGCTAATTTGTAATTATTCATCGTTGCTGGCATTGAATTTGTTGTGACAATAATTACTGAGCCAACTTAAATTAAAAATTGCAGTGTCTTTGACCACTAGTCCAAATTTTTAGCTTTACTGTTTATTATATCACCACAAGCTGCAATTGAGTTTGTTAGCGAAAGAACATGCCTTTCTGTTCTAAGTCATTTTTAAATAAGACGCTTATTTGAACTATTGGCTTTGTAGTTACTTTCAAACATGATAATTTGCTTCACATCTGTCGGGAGGTGGGTGGATTAAATTTTTTATAACCAACAGCTTCAGCGCTTACCCTTAAAAATTACCTTTCCATATTGTTATTGCCTGTCATTAATCCTTCCATCATCACAAGATAAAAAACAAATATGTAAAACTTACTCTTCAGATCTAATGAGATGATAATGCAAAACTTATCACCTCTGGTGCTTTAGTTACGTATTTGGAACTTTAAAGTATATTAACTCGGTTAAAACTCTAAATGAAGCTACGATACTAACTTATTGTATTCTCACACTTTTTAATAATGCTGCATCCTACTTGCAGATCTATTTTATTTTTAGGATAGTATTACAAAAGTGAAGTTTGGGCATTGATAATATTTTTAATTCAATTTATTCAGTTCCCGTTTGCTCATAGAGGTCCTTGATTTTTTTCATTAATGGTACTTAATTCTTGTGTGCAGAAATGTGTACGAACCCTGATAGCACTTGTTTTCAAAGCAACTTTTAATTTTTTAAATGCAGAAATTTCACTTCTTAATAAACTTTAATAAAATATGCAGTGTACATCACTTTGATCTTCAAACTTCATGTGTCACTCATAAAGTTGCCACAGGTTTGTAGCAATCTTTTTCGATGTTTCATGGAAGGATTGCTAACTTTTCCTCCATCTGGAGGCTTTCACACTGACAGTTTTAAAACTTGCTTCTTTGAAAGCAATTGTATGAAAGTTATTAGTCCAAAGGGATTTGAATCCCGAAGGACTATTACTTTTGTCTTGGCATTTTGCGTCGGACTCCTATAAATGTCGGTTCACTTTTCAAACTGTTGCCACCAAATGTTAGAGTCCTGCATTATATTTTAAGAAATTAAATAATGAAACATCTGCATAAATGTATGTATATTTCTCGCATTGTGATAAAACAACGGTACCTAGAGCCATCCAATTTTGAATGATGTATAATCCTACTGCGAATATGGGCATGTGGAAGACAAAATTTGGAATTTGTTTCATTATCGATTTCCTATTTTGTAAAATTTCAACGAATTTTTGAGTAACAAACTCAACGATTTCAAAGCGAGCAATGACAACACTCTACGGGGGGAAAAAAAACTTTTTATCTCCAGCACGCGGAACTTGTATCGGAAATTCTAAAGATAGGCTTATTTTAAAATTATTTTGCGACATTGCTCTTGAACTGAATTTTATGGTTTAATTGCAAAGAACATGATATTTAATAAATAAAGGTAACACACAAAACGTTAAAAAAAGCCCCTTTGGACGTAATTTAAAATCTGAAACATTTCAGATTTTTTTTTTTTTCTTTCTTTTTTTCTAGTGATTATTTTTTTTTTTTTTTTTTTTTTTTTTTTTTTTTTTTTTTTAAATTTACAGTACAGAAATGGTTCTAGTGGTTTTTTAAAAGTCCTTAATTTCAGCCAAAATTGGCGAAAGGTTCTTAATTTTATCTATCTGGTATTTCCGTCTTGTTTTTTTATGACTACCATTTTTAAGGAATATTTTGTGGTGATTGGTTAATGTTTTAATTCTTTTTCTACTTAATATAAACAGGTACAAAGCTTTAAACGTGAGGTGCTACCTTGTTTGAAATGTATTTTGAAATTATTCCTTTTTCAAGAATGAAGAGTTCATAAAATATTAATCAAAAAAGGGAACTTTTTTGAACAGAATACAAGTGCTAAAGCACATTTCCTGAAACACTTTCAGAATAAAACAAAGCTACTGTAATTGTTTTTAAATTGTCTTCTTTTATATACCTCATATTTATTCAGCTTTCTCTTGAAAATTCCCTTAAAGAGTTTTTCTGGTCCAGAAATCTAGATTTTTTTATCTTGGAGTTAAGAAATATTTTAGATCTAGTATCTCGGAAGGATTTTAAAAGAAAGTTAATAGACCTACAGCAACTTTTGTTGCTGTAATATATTTTTTCATTTCAGTAATTTTAAAGGTCTAATGTTTCAGATTTTAAGAACTAACTCTTCTTTTTATTTATTTATATTCTATCAAATTCTCACAAGTTGGAGAGAAGCAAGCAAAGTAATTGAAAACTAGCAATACCATATATACCTCAGAGCCAGCCCTAGATTCTAAACGTTTTAGGCTGCTATCACATGTCGGTTTGTTTCCGAAGAACAACTGTTTCTGCTTTGTCACAACAGATCGCTTTGGGGTTAACACAGGAGAAACTGGTTTCCCATTACAAGCAAGCTGATAGTTGATTGGTTGAAAACGAACAACTTGCAGTTTTTTTAGAAAGGAAGGAAAAAGTCGCACGTTTTTCTTGCAATAGTACAGGGCTTAATTTCCAAAATTAGAAGTACCGGAGCTCTATAGAAGACCTTCAGGAAAGAGGAACAAGAATAAGATGACAAAATCATTAACAATTAAATAAGTCATTATTAAAGTAATTAATGGTTAACGTAATTAAAATTTAATAAAATGCAAAGAGATAAATTAGAATTTAATAAGCAATTTTATTAGTAAAAATAAAGTTTTCTAGATCAAATTTCTACTGAAATTATTCAGTTACATAAAAGAAGTTCTTATTTAGCGCTCCGGCTAAAGTTATAAATTATTCTCAAAACTAAGAAGTACCGGAGACCTCCTTTTGGCTCCGGCGCAATTTAAGCCCTGAATAGTAAACCAGGTAGAAAAATCCTTCGAAACAGTTCGTGTTATGTAGCGTTATGATTCCTAGATTTACAATTTGATTATTTGGGTAACCCTGCTTGCCTCAAAAGCTTATCCCTACATATTACCTGGTGCTTCAGTGGCTTATTGGTCTAATTGGCAATTATCCTGCAAAATTTATATTTAAAATCAACTATTTCTTCTGCTTTAAACAAGAGAGATTTACAGAGCCCAGTTTCAATTTATTTATTAATGATTTTTGTCTCCATGAGTTGTATTCCTACGAATTATCCTCGTGTATAAATAATAGCATGAAGCCGAGTGGAATAATTGTATTTATAAGCTTTTAATTATGAACACTGTTTTCGAATGCATTTGGAGTTAATCTTGTATAATTCATTTCGAAATACTGCGACAGATGGCAGCACCATACCGTGGTGAAAATAACCATTTTGGAGTTGTGTAGAACTGTGGTTTTTGCCTCGTGCACTCCCTTTACCATTGCTAAAAAGTAATTCACTTCTTCCATTGGAAAACTTGAAAAATACATATATGTATCTATTTCGATTTAAATTATTTTCTAATGTGCTTTATTAAACAGCCCAAAACTTGAATAAAGGTGTTTTTTTTTAAATATTTAATTACTAAAACTAAATGCTTAAATACCTAAATAAAGGATTGACCGTGCTCCCCCCTTGAAACCATGGAGGTAGGAAGTAAGAGG